CCTAGGGGGGCTGCAGGCCTTTACAGACAGCCCCTGGAGGGGGAGGGCGGGGCTCCAGCAGGAAGACAGGGTCCAGAGGCTGGTGGGCCCTGGAGGGGTCCCGAAGGCGAGGCCCTGGGGGGTGGCAGGGGTGGGGGGGCTGGCTTCGTTCCCAGAGGTCACGGAGTCCAGGTGGGTCTGGGGAGGCCAGTTTCCACCCGCTCGGCCCGGGCCAGACTGGACTCTCCGTCCTGGCGGCTGCCAAGGTGCCGGCTTCCGGCCCCCCGACTTCTCCCCCCCCCCCCGCTCCCCCGCCCCCAACGGGGAAGGCAGCACCAGGGTCTTCCTTTTCCGGCGGGGAAAGACAACTGTGCGAATCGCCAGGTTTAAATTACAAATAATAAAAATAACAATACAAAATAAAAAAAGACAACCCCTGTCTCAAACACACCCGTGAAAAGCCTGCCCGGCAGAAGGGGCAGGGGCGGGAGGCCTGGCTGCCAGGGACTCCGCAGGGCCCTCTGGGTGCCGGGTGGGGTCTGTCCCGGTCCCGTCTGGGAATGAGCAGCAGTCTCCAGAGGACAGAGTTAGGGGGGTGGGGGGGAGAGGCGGGGGCGGCGCAAGGGGGCCAGGTCAGGGGGTGGGGGGGGGCGGTCAGGGCTCCAGGTGGTCTCGGCTTAGGGCTCTTGTGCCGCCGGCTCGTCCCGCTCTCTCTGTTTCCATGTCTCGGCGACGTGGACAGGGTTAGCTCTCGAGATTTATTGCACTGTTTTGGAAGAGGCCTGGGGTAGAGGCCGGGCCGGGGCTGCGGGAGAGGCGGGCAGGCGGCGGTCACCGCTTGGTCTTGGCGTCTTCTCGGATCTTCCAGATCACCAGGTGCATGCAGGCGCTGGCGTCCTCGCTGGAGCTGTGCCCGTCCACTGCGGGGCGGATGGACGCGTCAGAGTGGGTGCGCCCCCGGGCCCGGCCGCCGCCACCCCCCCCCGCCCCCCGCCGGCCGCTCACCGTTGTCCTGGATGATCCGTCTGAGGTAGTCAGCCATGAGGTTCCGCAGGGAGCGCTTGTAGGGGAGGCCCAGGCGGTGCGGGAAGAGCACGGACGTGTCCACCACGGTGCTGTGAATGACCTGCAGGCGGGCGGGCAGGCGGGCAGAGACCACAGGTCCAGGGCCCCGGGAGGGCCAGGGTAGGAAGGTGCCTGGGGCTCAGACCCGCCCCCACAGCTCCCATTCCCAGGAGCCCCGGGAGCGGGCAGTACCTTCAAGGCCAGCAGGTCGCTCTCCAGGCTGTGTCCGATGAGGACGGTGTCAGCGCTGAACATGCTCAGCAGGACGGCCTGGACATCCCGGAGCGAGATGCTCGTGTCCACAAGGTCAGCCTCAGTGACCCCTGAAAACCTGGCGTGGGCGGAGCAGGGAGCCTGAAGGTAGCCAGGGAGGGAGGCGGGTGCCCGCTCCTGGGGGGGGGGGGGGCTGGGGGGGGCGCGGCCACACCTGGTGTTGTAGTCGACGATCTCATTGTCCGGCTTGACAAAGGTGTCGTAGACCACCCGCATGTCTGTGTCCACCACAGTGACGCGCGTCAGCTCCAGGCCATATGTGGTGTAGGACTGCGGGGCCGAGAGGGCTCCCGTGACCGTGCGCCCCGCCCCGCACCCAGCGCTCTCAGGACGAGGCCGCCCCGGTCCCCGAGGCCTCTGGCCGGCGTTCCACTACCCAGCAAGGGCCGTGTCATACGGCCCGCAGCGTGGGCTGAGGGGGGAGGTCAGAGCGTCTACTTGGCTGGAGGTGGGGGGTGGCGGGGGAGGGGAGCCCTCTCTCAGAAGCTGCCGGCAAGGCCTCGAGGAGGCGCAACGGATGCAGCCCGGCACACGGCGGGGGCGGGGCGGGGGGGGGCGTTGGCAGGACCCCCCTTCTGCTCCCGGCTCCTCCCTCTACCTGCTCTCTATCCTAAGACCCCCCACCCCCACCCCCACCTCAAAGCTGTGGGCGCAGCAGCGGGACGACCACCGAACAGAACACCCACGGCAGCCAGCTCACCATTTC